TGCGCACGCGCAGTATGTGATAGAAATAACGCAAAACCTGTATCCCCTTATTAATAAACGAAGACTAAGCTTGGATTTGTTACTTCATGTTTTGAATCGAATGACAAATGGCATTTCAGTGATAGGAATAAAACACGGTGTAATTAGTCAAAGCTTATTCCGAGTTTATCAATAAGGTGGTTAATGCTTGACCTGAACTGAGATTTAAATCTATTGATGAACAATTTTGTACAGACTATATTAATTTAATAGTCTAAATAATTAATGTAAAATTATAATATCTAAATATAACGAAGAACGCAAAACTATAATATGTTTTCGGTACAATGAAATATAAATAATGGTTATATATTAAACGTAAAAATTCGATAAAAAACTGAAAAGTGTCAACATTTTGAGTTATATATACTGAATTTCGACGACGGTATTACGATCACACAGTTATACGACAGCACAATACTTCGACAATCACATATTTGACTAAAAACGCGGACGACATAAATAGAGTACTATGTCTAATGTCCAAGAAATAGTTATGACTACATTTAAGGAGTCTTATGTTCTGTAGGAATAGCGATTTGTCTAATACGTATGATACTGGAGCAGTGTACTGTCGAATACCTGTATATTCGAAATAGCGTCTAGTCGAAATTCAGTATCAAACACCAACATTTTGCCTTCATAAAATTTAATAAGCTTAGCTTAGAAATAGTTACGAGTCAATTCTATTGTTTTCTTTAATATTGACAAACACTGCATTGAACAAAATCGGACCTTTTACTGTACCTGCTCATTTATAGGTTACAAATACATTGCTCGTAGAGTGAATCACAATACATACTATTATAACTTATTTTAGATAGAGAAATTTGAGATCTTACATTCATACGAACAAAACAATTGTATTATTACTTGAGTGAAAATACCGCACTATCACAATCAATATAATATATTTGATTCCCAACTAGCAATAGAGATGTGACGGCAAGATTGTTACGGGTCGACAAATTTACGATTAAGCCAACACTTATTTTTGATTAAGTAAATTATATTTATACGTGAGAGAGAAAGCTGCACAGGCTCATTTTATAAATAAATATAAATAACTTTAAATTAAAATATTAGTTACACTCGAAATTAAATTTCTAAAATATTACCTCAAAAAGCCATTTCTCAAACGTTTTGTGCTGCAATAAAATGCTTATTGTTTTCGATACAAATTAAAGTAGTATTGCCATATTATGCGAAGTTGTAGTAGTATTGCACAACGACAACACTAAGTAGATATTAAAATCTAGCAGTTAAATGCTTAAATTATAAACACATATAATTACATATATATATATATATATATTATTCAACAGAGAGCGATCCCGTTCTTTTTACAATAAATAAAATAGATACTGTCAATTATTATAAGTTGAATAAGACACTTAAACTTCTTTCATAATATAAAAAAAAAGTGTTATATAAAAATAAAAAAAATTGGCGGGATTATTTGTATCGCACAATAAAATTAGCGCTAAAACATAATACTGAATTAATACACATGTAAAAAATCACATTTATAAATTACGAAAGTATAATATCACACACTCTTTTTAATTATATATAATTTTAATATTTGTAGGTACTTTAATATATTATTATGTTACGATTACCAAAAAACTTATAATTTTCAATGTTCAAATATATTGAAACTTTGATCAGTGATTTCTAAGAATTTATTCAAAAAAAATCTAATTGCATTGATCTCAACATAGCGAACTATTTTGTGCTATTTGCTAAAAAAATGACGTATAAATAGTCAAGTATGTATGCGCTCATTTGTCTCAAATTAATACTTAAGCTTTTCATTCATCAATTTCTAATAGACACATGTTTAAGTTAAATCACGTCAATGTTTCATAGCGCAAGAACATAAGCAATAAATATTAACTCTTAATTTAGGCTAGAAACTAGGCTTTTTTGTTATTATAGGTGTAATTATTACCCAGAATATAAAGTAATAATTTACGTGATGGTCAAGAGATATACGAATCAATAATTTCAGACGTCCAACGTATATCATTGAGCTAAGAAATAATACGATGAAATTTGCTAAATTACACGTTACATTAGTTTAATTAAGAATGCAGCATTGTTTTTTTAAGATCTCACAAAAAATTTTTTGTTCCTAAAAAGCAGAGTTTATACTATGAAAACGAAATAACGTAAAGAATTCATAATCTTATACTATAATTACTCCAGAACATATATTTGTGCTTATGGCTTTATTCTTTGTCGTAAAAAAAACACATCTACATAGTATTACCTACATAAACGAGTCGTCTTAACTATTTATTTATTGCATTATTTCTATGTTTCATCTAAAACTATCGATAGAGGCGCTTCACTATTGCTTTTTATCTAAGTACGTTTAAGTGTTTGTTGGTATTGAAAAATAGTTTTCATTTATCTACTATTTAAGGGTTCATATTAAATAAATCCTTTTTTTTACATATAGTTTGCCCATTCTTTCATCACAGTTTTAATATATGTATATAATTATTTATTCTCTTGTAGATTTTAAGTGCCCTTGAAGCTAGATGAGATTTGTGTTGTAAGCTTTATCTTAAACACTATAAGATATACGTAGGTATTTTTTTTAAATATTAACCGTAGATATTTCACGTATAGTTCGTAAAGAGATAGATACGTTTAAATAAACTTAAGACACAGACGCGATACTCTTTGGATTAGAGTTAATGTCACCGTTAATTATTCAAAAGTGATCAGAATTGAGGAGTTCGATGAAGCAAGTGGGTTGCGCGTTCGACTGCGATCGTTGAAGTTAAGCAACTTTCGCAGTGGTCGATCATTAGATGGGTGACCAAAAATTTACTGTCTCGGGCTCCTCCGTGCCTCAAGGAAGGCACATTGAGCCGTTGGTCCTGGCTGCATTTGCTGTCGTTAGCATCTACCAATCCGCACTGGGCCCGCGTGGTGGGTCATGGCCCAATCTCCCTATTTCATGCATAAGGAAAGCCTGTACCCCAGCAGTGAGGACATTAATAATATAGCTTAAACATGCTCGATCAAGCGAATCCAACACTAGTGTGCGTACAGTCAAATCTCGTCTCTACTGCGTAAGACTGAAAGTTGTATTCGTAAAGCACAATCATTTCCTAAAGTTGAACCCCCTTATTAGATATATGTAACAGAAATATAATTAGGTTTTAATGTGTTTCTATTTACGAATATTGGTGTTAAGAGAGCTTTTTATTTACAAAATAAATCTATGAAAACACAAAATCTACGTATAATAGTTTGATGTTTAACAAATAGTGTACTTTTAATATTAATTTTATGTTTAATTTATACAGGTTATGGCCGAACTAATGAGTCGCACATGACATGGAATTTGCTTTCCATATATAGATTTTACGGTCTAAGTTGATATGTTAATTATGAAATATCATTATTAAATATAATTTATATGCATGATTTGTGGTAATACTTTCATTTAAATATTAATTATTTACGTACTAAATTGACTTGTGAATATTGCTGCAGATTAATGAATTAAATACTATTGTCGAATTTTAGTGAAACTTGTTAAAAGCTAAAAAATTAAACGATTGAAAATTTTCTACCTTAAAGGTCATTTTAGCTTGAGGTTGATTTTAAAAATGAGATACATTTTATATTACCAAAACTAAGTACAAGCGAAACGCGACTTGCAAGTCGCGTTCTTCTTCAAAGATTCCATGTTATCGCCCAATTACCTAGTTTTTATGAAAATTTTGCGAATTGTATGTAAGTTACAAACAGTCGATTTTTTCCACACATAAGTAGATTAATGCGCTATTGATTTTAGATTTTAAACAATAGCAAAGAAAATTGCATCAATATCACTCAAAGACGCCTATATAATTAATGTCTCTGAGAGAATGTTTAATATTATAAGGACTCGTAGATAATCACTTATTAACGACAGAATAACAAGCAAATAAATCTCACTCGCTATTTGTGAACACTATTTGAATATTACTAATACTATTTCTATAACAATATAGTTAAATATTTTGAATACTAAGTTAGAGTCTGTGCGGAAAGAGAATGGGATTTAGATTGGAGGGTGCTGTAGTGCTTTTCTACCGTATTTGTAAGGTAAAAACCCTTTTAGACATGATTAAATACAAAAAACCACAAGAAATCACAACAACAAACAAATCCGTATCAAAACTTTAACGTTTTACAGATTGCTGGGTTTGATTGCCAAATAAAAATCTTAATGTTAGTTCCGTTTTTCGCCACGCCCTTTCCCATTCCGCACTGACTCTAATATTTTTTTTACTAATTCATTTATGTGCATAAACTATTTATATTTGCTGCCTACAAATCAACTTTTAACAGAGAATATCTTCTGATTTACTATGCGTCTTTCGAACTCTTTAAAGTTCAAAGTACAATGCATTCTTAGTAACTCTTGACCATTGAATTCTATACCTTTTGACACTTACAATAAGATTCAATACACAATTTGTCACACCAATTGCTTTGAAAAACTATTCAGTCCTTCTTACTTCCAAATCACTATATCTACTGACTTAAAAGAGTACTCGATATTCTACTTTATTGTATTGTATATTATGCCGCCTATATTTTATACCGTATTTTGTTAGAAGTTAGGTTCAATATTTACCACATTTTTGGCCTTCGAAAGCTCCTTCCCGTGTTTCCGCGACAAGCTATTTATGGTCGTATCTCCAAATTAAAGTGTACGAATTTCAACCTTATGTTGTTGGCAATGAGGTATGAATATGGTCTTGATATTTCCTATCATAAAAGAGTACATCATTTGCTACCATATTGTTAAGGGTTTGGTTAAATTTTTGCTACATTCTTGGCTTGGTGTCTCCAAGCTCTTCCATTGTTGTTCCCAACAAACTACAAACGGTTTTATCTCCAAACAAAAGGGTATACGATTTTTTACCTTATGTTGACGGTATTAAGATTCAATATCGCGCCTCAGGAGATTGTGGAGACCTCGGTTGCCGTACAGCGACGCCTGCCAGCCTTTCGCAAACCGCTTCCAATTGTGCGTCTAACATGAGGGAAGCTATCTGATCGTCAGTAAGCATTTCCATACTGAAAGTATAAAAATCAGCGTTAATTTCCTTAAAAATACTTGCCTAGATTAATTAGGACAATGTTTTGCCTCTGAAAAGTTACTGTTTAGTGTTTATAATATTTTTTCTTTAAATCAAAAACTGACCTGAACTAGACAATCGCTATCATACATACTCAATAAAGAGGAGATAGACAGGATAGGAGCTCGATGGAGTAAGTGGTAAGGGCGTTTGGTCTGCGTTCGTGGAAGTTAAGCTACTCTCGCAAAGGCCGATCATAGGATGGGTGACCACAAATTATTATCTCGATTTCCTCCGTGTTTCGGATGGCACTTTAGACCGTCGGTCATGGTTCCATCTCCATATTGCATCCATAGAGAAGGCTTGTGCCCCAGCAGTGAGGATACAATAGGCTGATGACAATGCGGACCAAGGATCAATAAAAGATGGAAGCAGTCAGATGTGGACAGCTCATAAAACCGAGTGGCCACAAATTCAACGCGTACATAGAAATTTGACGACTCATTTCTTTGTCGCACTATCCTTAAATAAAAACTCTACCCGCTCACGTGTTCCTTCTCTCTTACAACCTGGGATCCTTTAAAAGAGGCGTGAAGAAGCAACATGCAGGCCGGCAGGGTGAGGATGGCTGGTGTGGCAGGAAGAACTGCTGTACCAGCTATCTTCGCGTCTGGACTTCATCATCATCATCATCATCAGCCTATTAACGTCCCCACTGCTGGGGCACAGGCCTTCCCTATGGATGGAATAGGGAGATTGGGCCATGACCCACCACGCGGGCCCAGTGCGGATTGGCGGGTGCTAACGACTGCACATGCAGCCGGGACCAACGGCTTAACGTGCCTTCCGAAGCACGGAGGAACTCGAGATAGAAGACTTGGCCACCCATCCAATGACCGACCACTGCGAAAGTTGCTTAACTTCAATGATCGCAGCCGAACGCGCTAACCACTTGCGCCATCGAGCTCCTCACTGTGTGTGTGGACTTCACCGTCACTTAACATCAGGTGGGGTGGAGGCATTTGTGAGACCTATACATAAAAAAAAAATATGAAATACCTGGCCAGGCTGTCAGTGTCAGAGTATCTCTCATCGGAAGTAGAGGAAGTGTCAGGTGGTAGAGGGCTGGCTCGTGCGAGAGGAGATCGCGGCGCCGACGCGGAACCGCGCCGCTCGCCGAATAGCGATAAACCTGCGGTAAAACAAACATCTTGAATTAGTATGCAGGGTAATTTGTTCATCATCATTATCAGCCTATTAATGTCCCTACTGCTGGGGCCTTCCCCATTGATGGAATAGGGAGATTGGGCCATGACCCACCACGCAGGCCCAGTGCGGATTGACGGGTGCACAGTGTTTCTTTTGCCCCAAAAAAGTGACATCCGCTTTTTATCGAACATTTAGACTCAATAGGTTATTACAAATGCAAGAGTAGAATTCCCAGGCGTCAATTCCGTATAGTTTATTTTTAAAAAAATCTTAAAGTTTACGTGACCTCGATGGTCAAAATACTGAAAATAATTCCTACTAAGAGAACTATACGTGATTGAGTTTTATTTGTATTACAGGCTTATGAAGCAATTCTTGGCGCATAATATCCTGTTTTGGTTTAATAAAAAATGACAATAGAATCCCCAAAAAAAATTTTTTTAAATAAATCAGTATTTTATTTTTTTTATTTTTTCTAGCTCGAAGTAGAATCTCTGTCTAGTAAAAATAGATTCCTTACAATAAGGTTTATTGCCCACAAAAATATTGCTTTCAAGTTCGGCCTAGGTTTCAAGAAAACTATTTTTATGTACTGGGGTCAAATATCAAAATTTAGGGTTGTCCATAAAAGGTCACTTTTTATTATTGTTATTTTTAATTTATCACACATACTTCTTCTTCTTAAATGTTAACATTTTAAACAGGAGGGAGGTACAATTAAATTAAAATATATATACTAGCTTTTGACCGCGGCTTTGCTCGCGTTAGATTTGATTTTGTACAGTCCATAGAATGTTAGTAGAAATAAATAATATTGTTGTACCTGTTTGTTTGTTTTTTGTTTGAACACGCATCACGGGAAAACGGCAGGACTGATTTCGATTAAACTTTTTTAGTTTGATTGCTTAAGGTCAAATGTTGCCTTTTTATTATATATACAGATATAATATTTATTCACATAAACTTTCTTCGTTGCTTAATATTATATTAGCTTCATCACTGTCGTCTTGTGAGAACTCTTGGTCTTGCATATTATCTTCTTGTATACTATCTTGATCAACGGCCTTCAAAAGATCTCGCAACCTAGCCGGAAGTAGTAGACTTTTTGAAAATTTTTGTCGACGATGGAGGCGAAGTAGTGAAATTGCCGGATCTGATGATTCTAATGCACGATGAAAGAGATCAGTCATGGTTTTATTTCTGTCCATTTTTCGACAGTGTTGCTCTCTATCTCTACGCGAGAACTTATTTCTGGATTCCGCTGCTTGTTCAGAGAGCATACCTACCGGAAGGGGATTGGAATCAATGATCTCTTGACCATGCAATAGAATTTTATGCACTGTCACCGTTATTGGATGCCAGTCGCAACATATTTTTCTGCAACTGCCCTGCAGTAGATGCCAAACTTCGTGGAGTCTATTGGTAACTCACAATTGATTGTGACCAGGATAATATATAGGTCATCTAATAACCATGAATGCAATCCTAAAATATCTGCAAATGTATGCCGATATTTATCTGACAGCGCAGTTCGTGCAGTATTGCCGTCATTGGTGGTGTCTGCATTTGGCCTTAGTACGTCAACCAACAAGCCTATTTTGCACCTAATTTCTGCCTGGATACACTCTTTTCGCTGTTTAATTATGCTGCAGAAAAAAACGAGCGAAAACAACATTTACAAACCATCATGTTGTTATAACGTCAATACAAACATGATTTATTTCATATAGAAAACCTGTTGGAATGATTGGAACAGTTCAAACCCAAAAATGCTTGGGTTTGAACTGATCCAATCATTCGAATAGGATTTCTATATGAAATAAACCATCTGTGATATAATCAGACACTTTGTAATAAGCTTTTTATGAAGTGCTTTTTTTATAGTATCTTTAAATTTATCTTATCTTGTTTTGGATATTGCTTGGGACTTTATTGTATAAGCGAACACAAAGACCTTTAAATGAATTACTGTTTTTGTAAAGCCTAGTAGCAGGCAAAGTTAGTTTATTTTTATTTCTTGTATTGAGTGTGTAAACATCACTGTTTTTAATAAATAAATTAATATTTTTCTCACAAATAATAAGTTTTAATATGTATTGTGATGCAACTGTCATTATGCCAATTTCTTTAAACGGAATAAATACTTATTTAGTTTACAAAAAATATATCACACAATCAGATCAAAAATGGTGACAACCCTTATAACAATTTTTGAAATTCGTTTTCTTGAAACCTAGGCCGATATTGAAAGCAATATTTTTGTGGGCAATAAACCTTATTATAAGGAATCTATTAGTACTAGACAGAGATTCTACTTCGAGCTAGAAAAAATAAAAATAAATAAATACTGATTCCGATAAAAAAATTTTTTTTGGGGATTCTGTTGTAATTTTTTATTAAACAAAAACAGGATATTATGCGCCAAGAATTGCTTCATAAGCCTGTAATACAAATAAAACTCAATCACGTATAGTTCTCTTAGTAGGAATTATTTTCAGTATTTTGACCTCCGAGGTCACGTAATCTTTAAGATTTTTTTAAAAATAAACTATACGGAATTGACGCCTGGGAGTTGTACTCTTGCATTTGTAATAACCTATTGAATCTAAATGTTCGATAAAAAGCGAATGTCACTTTTTTGGGGCAAAAAAAACACTGTGGGGTGCTAACGACTGCAGATTCAGCCGTGACCAACGGCTTAACGTGCCCTCTGAAGCACGAGGAACTCGAGATAGAAGAATTTTGGTCACCTATCCAATGACCGACCACTGCGAAAGTTGCTTAACTTCAACGATTGCACCCGAACTCGCTCACCACCTGCGCTATCGAGCTCCTCAATTTGATCTATTTCTTTTAAATTTTTCTTGTAGTTTCGGTCCCTCTACAGGCTCTGTGGTCGCAAAATAGTGACAACCATCATTGTCACCAACCAATCAAGTCAATAAAATATGACAAACATACATGTTTATTTACAGAATAGAGGTTTTAACATGAAGGCGCGTCTAGACTATTTAACGAAAAATATTATTTAACATGTTACATATGTGTGGTGAAACAACGTTTGATCATGTACACGTGCTCTGAACGGATTTCTAAACTAACGTCTCTTTGGTTTCAACCAGCTACAATAAAAACTTCATCCCTTTTCCCGAATTTCCTGATCGAAATCTGATATACAAACCTCATCATGGCAATAACATATACAAACCTCATCATGGCAATAACATATACAAACCTCATCATGGCAATAACAAATACAACATTGAACATCTTGATCTTGCTTCGAAGGGGGCTGCTGGGGACCCAGTAAGTAATTGTTACCTAGAAGTTCATGATGATCTGTCCAACTTATTTTGGAACATTTCCTAGATCTTCTTTTGAGAGGGGACTTCTCAGGGTATCATTGGAGATGCTGCAAGCACTTCTTAGCCATAAGGCTGGTGATGACCTATCCAACTCACCCTGGAACACTTTCTAGACCTTCTCCGCGGTATCGTGCAAGATAGCGTCCAGATTCTGCCGCCTGCCCTCTCTAGCTCGGCACGTAGTCCCCGCGTAAGATGACACCTTCGATAGGGACTGCTGGGGGACTTTTTAGGGCTTGATCGGGGACGCATCGATATCTTGTTAGCTAAAAGGCTGATAATATTTATCCAGAATCTGGAGCACTTCTTAGCCAGAAAGCTGTTCATGAACTGTCCAACTCATCTTGATCTCCAAGCTGTTTATCGACTGTCCAACTCATCTTGATCTTGACTTTCCTTTAAGAGAAGGCTACTGGGATAATTGTCAGGGCTTGTTACTAGAAGACTGATTGTTCGATAGCTTAATGTCTTCTATATGTGGATTTCTCAATAAAAATCGGATATTCAGATTATAGAATATTATTCATAGTAAAATACAGATCTATTAAAATTATGTGCGTACGTTGTCTTTTTTGAATGCGAATAGCAAGAGGGAGAGTGAATCTATATAAATCAAAATGAGTGAATGTAGTAACGAATGGGTACGAAATGAATGTATGAATGGACGATGACGATGGACCGATTGCAGTTTCTCTCTTCGAAGGATGGCGTTAACACTGATGACCTTTGGCTTACACTTAGAACACTTGTTAGCTAGAAGGCTAAGGATCCCTGGCCTACACTTGGAGCAGTTTTTAGCTAAAAGGCTGATGATTAACTCACCCTGGAACATCTCCTTGACCTTCTCCCCGGTGTCGTGGAGGATAGCGTCCAGACTCTGCCGCCTGCCTCTTTCTAACTCGGCGCGTAGGGCTGCGCCCCGGTCCCCGCGTATGATGCGTCTGGGGGAAGCTGCCGATACCCTTGAAGGGGGGCTGCTTGGAGACTTGTCGGGGCTCGATCGAGGACGTAGCGAGCATTTCTCGAAACTCACCTGAGCAAACAAAGTTATGTTAGTAAGAAATTTTAAACGACACAATACTTTTCAATAATCTTTTATGGGTTTAATGCCTGCAAGCGAATCTAACATTTGCAGTCTCAAAGAATGCAAAATGGTATCATACGACTAATAAGTGGTGTGCTTTAGTTCGTTACCAACACTCAAATTCAAGAAGAATTTAAATGTTAATAAAAATTGTTAACGAAACGGAGTAAATTCAAAATGCCACCAAAAATACCAACAGAGACAGGAAAAGACACCCATATAATCTGGTTGCTTCGTGAAAAGAGACGACATATTTTAAACATTCACCTCACCAAGGGGTACCGGTTCAAATGAGTAGATGGCTCAACTATCGAGCACTCGCAAAAATCAAGGTACATGTTAGCAATTCCGCTGATTACTTAAAAGGTTAGATGCCACCAGTTTCTTGATAATCTCACCTCTTCCAGGCTAGAACAGTCCAGATCGATCTCCGATCAAGTATCAAAATCGGGCAGACATCTAGACCTTGCATCCGCAGTTCGTCGCAGCCGTTCGCGTCTGCACTATGATGATTATGAAAGGACATAATTCTACCAAGTTGGTTATGGTAGCCGTAACCGCACTCCCAGGGATACTTCTCACGTCTTACCGGAGCCGCTGCCGTAGCCAGGTACATTTAAAACCCTAGGAACTGGGGCCTTTCTTTTGATGGAGACCCAAAACTGATCACAGTAAGGCAGACCATCGATGCGATGGACAGAAGATCTCATGAAGATAGTGGGAAAGCACTGAATAAAAACAGCAGAAGACAGAGCTAGATGGCATACGCTGCAGGAGCCCTACATTCAGCATTGAATGGCTATGGGCTGAAGGAGAAGAAGAGAGTAATGCTACCGTACAGTTGCTTGATAATCTCACCTCTTCTGGACTAGAATAGTCCAGATCGATTTCCGTCCAGGTATCCGAATCGGGCAGACACCGTGGTCTCGCGTCCGCAGTTCTCCGCAGCCATTCTCGCACGTTCGCGTCTGCATTGTGTTCGCACAACTCTTCTAGCTTATCGCTGGCCGTCGTGTTAGTGTCGCTGGCCGTGTCCGTTATTGTAGATCTGTCTATGTCTTTATAGTGGAAGATAAAGTGGACAGTTAAAATATTACCTCAAAATATGAACGTCAAATAAACAGTCTATCTGTTAAATGGTTTCACTATAAAATATCAATTATATTATATAAAATATAAACAATGTGAATTCCCTATCAATAAAAATAAGTTTATTTCCCAACATTAATTTAACAAAGTTTTGAGAGACCTCAGAAAGTAATACAACACTTGTGGTGAAGTTGAGTCGAATCAATCACAGTAAGTTTTATATGTTATACACATATTTTTCTTCATTTATAACAATACCAAAAATGTTTTGGTCAATATCTTAAGACTATCTACAGTAACATAAACAGAAAATACCAATCTATCTGCCTTAAGTCGTGCAATTGTCTGGCCCAAGATTAAGGGGCCTCCAATACTCGTGGCCGATGTTACAACATTTTCAAATATGCAAACAATAGTAATCAATGAATTCAAAATTAGAAAAACCATGTATCTCACCGTTTCTGGTAGATTGTCTCCTCGAGCGGTGTCTATGTATTTCATCGGAGATTCTCTCCAAGTTCCTCAATGCTGAGGAGTACTGTTGCTTCGCTTCTGCCACCTGCCCCTCCAGTGATTGGATGCGCGCCTTCTGATTCTCCAGCGCGGTGTTGATTCGCGCTTTCTCTTCGAAATAAGGCCTAAAAACCGACTATCCAGCTCGAAGGACCATCCCAACATTTGTCTAAAGGACGCCTATTTTAAGAATGGTCTGGTTTTACTGATTTGGTTGATAACATTATAAATATGGTGTCATTCAGTTTCTATCAATTAAAAGTGAATACTTTATTTTTTCCTTTAAGTTGACTGTGACTGAAAAACAATCTTTTAAAAGACAAAGACATTTCTTTATCAGCATAAATGGACAGGATGAACATGTTTTCTCATTTATTATATTTATTTTAAGCATTTAATAATTTATAAATCTTAACGCGTTCGATTTCCGTCTACTGCCTGGAACGCGTGGCTTTCTTTCTAATAAAATTTTCTTTATGTTTTCTCGTTTCATGATACAAAAATTAAAGTTAGGTTTTAAAAAAATATAAAGATAGAACTGATATTACTATCAAGATATTGGCACTCAATCGAGGCAGGCGTCCTTTAGAATTAATTATAGCTATACTTATTATTCACATCATTAAACAATAAAGAAAATATTGTACTAAAGTTGATACAATATTTACAATACAACAGTTCCAAGTTAATTATCACAGAAAAATAAAGAGCAGAAATTGTGAGAATTTAGAAAAACATGCTTCATACAGTTAGTAACAAAAAACACATATAAAAATATGTACATCAAAAACATTTCGTAGGCTATATTACCATTGCAATAAGAGCCATATTAGGAGTAAAATACATAAATGCGTTAGTGAACAGGCAAATTTTGTATGAGAAAGGGACAAATAATAAAAACCCCAAAGCCTTTGCCAAACATATGCTGCCAGTTTCAATAATCAAACTCCAGTAAGAGATATGTCGCTTAGAGATACGTTGCCTAGATGTTTTTAGATTATAACCCCTCGTTTACACTAAGGTGTAAATGTAATTAACAAATTTTATACAATGATTTAATTGCTTGTTCACACTTAAAAAAATGTATAAAACATGTAGTATACAATACTGGCATCAAAGTTGTTGGATAAACAAAATATGTAAAGAAAATATATGATTTATACTTGTAAGATATTACACTCGACTGCAAATAAACTGGGCTACTTGCTACCATGGAACTCTGATTTGATTTTCTCAAAAAGTATAAAACATAATTGTATTATCAAAATTATAACTACAGAAAGTGCGTTTCATGGTGAAAGATTGAATGTTTGTGAATGGTGAATTAAAATGAACTAGAAATTATTGAGATTAATCAATTCATTAAATTTTTCGATCGCGGGGCCCTGGGAACTTGCCCAAAGTGCCCACTGGGAAAGACGGGTCTGCATATTAACAATTATGAAACATAGTTTTTGTAGATATAGCTTTAACAGTTGTAAGTTTTATACTTTTTGAAAAAATCCAATTACTGTTCCAAGGTACTAGCGGTTGGCCCAGTTTATTTGCATTCGAGTGTAGTTGTCTATGCAGTGTTAACGAAATAATGTTTTAAACAGCCACAACAAGTGTTCTACAAGATTTGTTTAAAACTTGCACATGACTTGTTTTTTTTGTGGAAACGAGGGGTAAAAACATCTGTTACCATGAAACAGTTGAGTGGAGGTTGATTATTGCAACTAGCCGATAGTATGCAACATGCAAAGGTAAATTATCGAAAATATGTACCAAAACGTGAGATAGGTGTCATAGATGGCGCTGGCGGCGCAGTGAAGCCTGCTGAAGAGAGTTACTCTGTGCAACTAGTCAAGCGGTATAAACCTGTAAGTGCGAACTCGGCTTTACAGCAAATGCTAACGTTTATTTGGAAACTACAACCTAATTATTAACTAACGAGGATGCCATTTCGTAGTTTTCAATTCTGAGAGGCGGAAGTTATAACTTTAAATATAATACTTCAAAGTTAGTCTTTGGATAGCAAAAACTTGTTTCCTGCCACCAGTTTAAGTCTTCTCCTAGCTATAGAAAAATACTGACGAAACAAACTCCACAACGCTAAAGAAATAGTCACGTCAGCTTCACTTACAAATTGCTATGTCATTACAGGTATCGATTCTGGCATCATTCTCTAAACATAAAACTAAATTTAATATCCGTCTCTCCTTTTCGACAAGGATACATTGGTGTCAAATTTAAGTTTAGGTTTAGGAATCGACACCAATGTATATCTATGTTTATTGTTGAATATCTTTTAAAAAATATTTATCAGTGGATTTCTTTACTAAATATTCTATTATATATCTTGATATCTTAATAAAAAACCTACATAAAAAGCACTAAACTACGTATCTGTAGGGTAGTGAAATGATTCAACTTAAAATTTACATTTGATTTCAGAAAAGAAAAGATTAGGACACAACGTGAAAAAGAGTTCTATCAAAATGCTATCTACATGGTAATGAATAAATACTATTATTTTATCATTCAACTATCGGTCTTACTTATAGGAATTGTTTATTAATTTACAATTTTCCACTATAATATGCAGATTTTCATGCAATACAATTTGACATTGCTTTTATTACAATTCGTCTGACAGTATCCTGATCGGTATAAAGTTAGCCAATTGTCTGAGATATAAATAAGATTTCCTTCAGCTCAACCAAATAGCTAACTTCAGACTGGCCAAGATATATCAAACTGTTGTGTGACTGAACATAAGTTAGGATGTAAAACATTTTCTGTTAGCAAATTAACTGATTACTATAATACAACTTTTTTACTTTTTACTGTGCAACTAACTAAAAGAATTTAGTAGCAAGCTCAAAATACTAAGCGTAAATTCGCTACAAGCTAAATATAGATCATACTAACTTCAGAATAAAGTTGAGATTCAAGTAAAGTTATGCGAATAGAGGTTAAGCTAGGCTTATCGTTAAGTCAAAAGTCGTGGCTGGGTCAGTAGTGCAGACCTACACTTTGTAATAAGTCTCCTGAGGTCATTCTGTTGTTGTTGAACAAAGACGGTGGTTACTACGCTTATTAAAAGTCGCGGCAGAGCATTTTATGTTTTAGTGTGTAGACAGTTGGTCGCAGATGACCTTTACAGCGTCACCGGGTTAGGGGAAGGCGAGATTCTAAGGGGACCTCAAGCCGAGAATTGGCGAGTGCCTCTAGAGGTATTCCAGGCGGAGGGCATCTCCCCACGGGGGGTCTTCTCTCCGTCTGGAGCCTCTAAACCACTCGAACCTGAGGGGGTCGGCTCAACTAGAGGGCGTCTCTGAGACTCGGACCTCGGCTCTAGTTAGCCGTTGTCGTGGGGGGCGGGGAAAAACGCCCAGGTACGTACCTGCACCTGGTATAGCGTGTCGTGTGTAGACCGGGTCTCCGCACTCTTATCCTACGGGTGCGGTGTCTGCCTAATGTTAAGCTAGTGTGCAAGTTTGCTAGCTGTGAAGTGGCTGAGCAGTAAGAGCAAGCGCACATTGAGCCATTAGTGGCAGCCACTAAACGCGTTCACAAGCTGTGGTCGAATTTTTTCTTACATTTTGTATAGTATCGGCGCAAACTAACATCCATATTCTTAGTCGTTTCCTCGAGATTTTCTCCACTCGACTCAACCTCATTCGAGGAAATTCGTATGCTTAGACAACAAAAATATCCTTCACTTGAGAGGTCGAGTCGAGGAATAAACTGTCAAACTCAAGGTAGCTCTCGACGTACCTTAAGGCTTCCTCGAGTGGTGTTTAAGGTGTTTTCAAGTTGTTTTTATCGAGAATTATGTCTGATTTTGAGATTATTGAAGAATTTGTGGATTTTATGGATTACGTATTTGATTTATTTATTTATTTATTCAGTAACACATACACGATGATGAACCATATAATTATCCGGCGCGACGGTATTTACGTGATGCCGCAAATCCTTTTAAGGTTTACGACAATGATTCGTTTCAAAGAAGATTTCGGTTTGAACATACAGTCATACAAGTAATATTTCCTCTGCTAAGCATCATAGAAATAAAATCCTCCAAATGAATACGTCACAATGTTGAGGAATTCTCAGTGGAGGAATTCTCAAGTTTATTCAAGATACCAACTCGAATACCAATTTCGAGGTTATTTGGAGGAACTCCTTAAGGAGCCCTCGAATGAGTTTGAGTCGAGGAACGTTTGAGGACGCGACTAAGAATATGGGTGTAAGCGTTCAAGTGGCTGCCATTAAGCCTCTAGTGGCCGCGTTAGTGGCTCAATGTATACTTGCCCTAAACGGCACTAAGGACAGTAAAATCTGTAAAGGTTTATAAGCAGTAACCTGACATGGACTTCGTTATATGTCTCTTGAGGCTGTTCTGCAGTTTTTGCACATGGGCGGTGGTCGCTACGCTTATCGCTCAGTCAAAAGTCGTGCGTGGCTGATCAGTAAAGGCTTATTTACACTTAGGTAAGTATAGTAGCGAGTTGACTTAAGGTTTTAGCAAGTTATATTATTAACATCGTTTGGACAGGGATTTGCCAGTTAAGTACATAATGGTGTCGATTCTGGCATGATTCTCTCTGAACTCAAAACTTAATTTAACATCAGTTTTCCTTTTTATTCTGTATAGAGAATGCCAAGGATTCATTGTTGTCAAATCTAATTTTAGGTTTAGATAAACATGTCAGAATCGACACCACTGCTAAACTAATCGCTACTGTACTTACCGAAGTGTAAATCTACCCTTACTACTACTGTGTGTACTGCTCTTTAAGACAGATTTACACTTCGGTATAGTAAAAAAAAAAAGTTTTTTGGTAATACACTGTAAGAAGTTTATATGCGGTGATCTGACCTGGACTTCGTAATGTGTCTCTTGAGGCTTTTCTGTAGTTGTTGCACAAATACAGTGCTCATCACTTAGTCAAAAGTCGTGGGGAGTAAAGGTTCGTGAATGTAATCGCTAATTCATAAGTAATGGCTGGACACTACTCAGTGGGCAATAAAGGTTTCTCTAAGCGGCAAGCTAACCTGGACTTGGTAATGTGTCTCTTGAGGCCGTTCTGTAGTTGTTGCACAAAGGCGGCGGTAGCTATGCTCATCACTTAGTCAAAAGTCGTCGACAGTAAAGGTACGTGAATTTAATCGCTAATTCAAAAGTAATGGCTGGACACTACTCAGTGGGCAATAAAGGTTTCTAAGCGGCGATCTGACCTGGACTTGGTAATGTCTCTTAAGGCCGTTCTGTAGTTGTTGCACAAATGCAGCGCTCATCACTTAGTCAAAAGTCGTGGATAGTAAAGGCTCGTAAATCTAATCGCTAATTCAAAAGTAATGGCTGGACACTACTCAGTGGGCAATAAAGGTTTCTCTAAGCGGCGGTCTGACCTGGACTTGGTAATGTGTCTCTTGAGGCCGTTCTGTAGTTGTTGCACAAAGGCGGTGGTCCTTACGCTCATCACTTAGTCAAATGTACAAATGTTGTGCTCATCACTAAGTCAAAAGTGGACAGTAAAGGTTCGTAAATCTAATCGCTAATTCAAAAGTAATGGCTGGACACTACTCAGTGGGCAATAAAGGTTTCTCTAAGCGGCGGTCTGACCTGGACTTGGTAATGTGTCTCTTAAGGCCGTTCTGTAGTTGTTGCACAAAGGCGGTGGTCCTTACGCTCATCACTTAGTCAAATGTACAAATGTTGTGCTCATCACTAAGTCAAAAGTGGACAGTAAAGGTTCGTAAATCTAATCGCTAATTCAAAAGTAATGGCTGGACACTACTCAGTGGGCAATAAAGGTTTCTCTAAGCGGCGGTCTGACCTGGACTTGGTAATGTGTCTCTTAAGGCCGTTCTGTAGTTGTTGCACAAAGGCGGTGGTTCTTACGCTCATCACTTAGTCAAGTGTACAAATGTTGTGCTCATCACTAAGTCAAAAGTGGACAGTAAAGGTTCGTGAATCTAATCGCTAATTCAAAAGTAATGGCTGGCTCAGTGGGCAATAAAAGTTTCTCCAAGCGGCAATCTGACCTGGACTTGGTGATGTGTCTCTTGAGGCCGTTCTGTAGTTGTTGCACATATGCAGTGCTCATCACTTAGTCAAAAGTCGTGGGCAGTAAAGGTTCGTAAATCTAATCGCTAATTCAAAAGTTGTGGGCGGGCACTACTGATTGGGCAGTAAAGTAAAGGTTTCTCTAAGCGGCGATCTGACCTTGACTTGGTAATGTGTCTCTTGAGGCCGTTTTGTAGTTGTTGAACGAGTGCCGTAGCGGCGCGGTGTGCAGCCGCCTTGGTGCGTTGCGTCACCGTTGTACTGGCGCGATCAGCTTCCGCCTAACACAGATGAGAGCCGTACTCAGAAACGGCGAAAAGGTATGATGACGGGGTCAACGAATAATTGGAGGGGCCATACCAAAGATATTTAATAACCCTAATACACCACATGCGCTCAAAATGTGTTCCAATCAAGAAGTGCTTCTTCGTACTTCTTGGTTCACAGTGACGCGCGGACCGTTGAAAAGTCAACATGCCGCATAGCTCCGGAAAAAAAATACTTATCGTATACGTAGTGTCGTTTTTTTGCCAGGTTTCTAATCAATGTTTCTTAATTAAACGCATTTGATTATAATACTATTACTATTTTGTTGTAATACTTACTGTAAAGTGATTTAATAGTCAATATTTGTGATATTCAAATACATGGTCGGTTTGTTTAGCCATCCCTTTTCCTCGCGCTCTGTACCTGCTATATTGCTATCAGTGCATTCAGAATTGCGCGTAGAGTCAAAGAAATAAGGTCTATATTCTTCCGCATATAGACATTATGTAGGGGCCGTTACTAGGACCCTAACGACTGTCAATTTGTCAATTAGTCACGGGACGATTGTCAGGAGATAATTATTAAAATACGTCAATATGATGTGAATGCCTTTATTGCACTGTCATATAATGTAAAATATTGTTCTTAAACCAATTAGTGGGTCAACTGTGTCAGCAGTTTAGAGTGCATCGACTCGGAATGCAAACTTAATAAAATATAATTAAAATGGCTTGTACACCTTATTTCTAGCTATCTAGTAATAAGTCGTTAAATTTTACGAGCTTGCATTTTTTAACTGTCATAACTCTTTGACATATGCGTTTTAATTAAGACCTTATACCGTATGCATTAAAGGTGACTTTCAATGTTTAATAATGCCTTATATTGTTTTAGACAACGCGATCATCGTACGGAGCTCCGTGGATCGTTCAATGTACCTTTTGGACAGTTTTCGGCCATGATTTTGTTCGTGTTGGTGTATCTAGGGTATTAAATATCGTTGAAATAAAGGATTATTATTATCATTATCAGCATTAATATGGGGACATTAATATGTTAATGATGATGTACCGCAACTCACCTGATTAACCCTATGGGTGGCATGGTTAAGCATCTCCTGCCATGCAGGGTCCAAGGTAACGCCACCTTCCGACCCTTCCGCCAGTCGTGCCAGTCCCTGCTCTGCCAGGAAAACCATCTCCCTGGCGGCCGCGTGAGCGCTGTTGGCTTTGTCGAACGCGAGAGTAGCCGTTTGCAGTTCTTGCGATGTCTGACAACAAGGCAAGTAATTTTATTTATTTCATCTTTAATGGCTTTACATTGCATATGGCGGACTTAATGCCAGCATGGCATTCTCTACCAGTCAACCGGAAAAAACATGCGGAGTCAATAAAACGGCAGACAACCATAGAAAAAAAAATATAGATAAGAGCAAATATCAAACGATGAGAAAAACAAAATTAAAAAACGTTTTATACATACATACATGTAAATATATATACATATATAGATAATTTATAAGAAGTGTGGCCGATGATTGTAAAGTTAGTATATGAAAAATACCTATAATAAAGGGAATCACCATCTTGTACTATCCAGGTTTCATTTGTAAATATAAATAATATTTTTATATTTTGGATTGAAATTTGTCTATAAGAGGTCAATACGTGTAGGTGGTAAGTTGGTAAACAAATATTTTGAATGAGGCCAAAAAGGAGCAAAGGCTGTGAGGCAGCAGAAGCAATTTGATTTACTAATTCTAGGAGGGGAGGAAGGGTGTAAATCAAGGCTCCTGGGGCACCGGATTCGTAAATACGCCACTGGTGATAGGTACCTACACTACCTTTACTAGTACTTGTGTTTTTTTTATCATAGTATAACTTAAATTGCACTCACAATATTAGCTCTAAATCTTGCTTCATAATATGGTCTTGCTTTGTGAACACTAGTGCCTAGTTTCTTGGTCAGCTGCTGAATGCGAAGATGCCCCTCAGCCAATAGTCTTCGGAATGCTAAGCGGGCTTCGTCCAACTCGACCTCGAGTCTGTTGATCTCGTCCGTAGCAGTGTTTAAGCGTTCCAATTCAATCTGAGGAAAATAAACTGTTATGTGACATCATTTATTTTGATAAAAAATGTATTTGAATAGAAAGATACACGCAATAGGGAAGATGCATATATATTATTTATGAAAATTTTATGATTAAAATGTTAAAAAAATATAAAAGAAATGCCACTGCAACGGTTTTATTTTACATAATGTTGTTTTTTAACAATTATTACGAATTAAAAATACTTGAAACGGAACGTATTTTGAAACACCAATCAGCGTTTAGTGACGTCACTCCTGTTATGACAACTTCTTTGAGGTTATGGTTGTTAAAGTAAATATTATTTTATGGGAATATTTATTGCGTTTTTTACATTTAATAAAAATGGAAGTTGCGTTTATCAAAGCAGACTCCAGGAATTTACCAAGAGTTAGCGTTGACATGGTTATAACTTTTTTTGTCCAAAGTGCAGAGTTTTTAAGTGTAGAAATGAAAGGGACTATATTACTACGGTATGTAAAAATCGTAGTTTATTCGTATTTTATTCAGCGGCTTCTACAAATTTTACGGCGATAATGCAATCGGCTATGTCCAAATTAAAAGAGATGGAAAATTATGCGCATAAACTACGTAAAGAGGGTTATCGTGTTACAGTTATTTTAAATGAAACGCAAAGCTTGGTTCAGTCCTGCCAATGTGAAGATTGTGCCACACATTTTAAACTTTATCTAATTTTCGACGTCATTCTCCAACTGTAAAATTAAAAATATGTTATAGACAGGTTTTGTAAGTATTAGGTAGGTTACTAATGCGTTTTTACGTACAAGCAGATTAATTAAGCATATAACAAGTATATTCGCCGACTTACGTCAAAGTGATCTTCACAGCATCGAATAATGGTCTTTGGAGAATAATTGTCATTTCTCTTTGCAGCTTGAAACCACTTTTTTTCAGTTTTGGGTCAGAAGTTCCAGTCAAAAACCATTTATTTAGGAACTTTGTTGAAGTACATTGGCACAAAACATGAGTCAACACGGCTTTTTTTCGGAATATTAGTGGTATTGTTATGATCACATGATGTTGATGGATAGTCCATTTTAAATTTTTCAAAAAAATATTTCGAAAGTCGAAAAAATATGCAAAAGTATGAAAATTTAAAGCCAGCAACGAACAATTACGACCAGTGACAGACAGGAGTGACGTCATCGCAACCATAGGTTCGTTTGCGCGCGAAAATTTAAATTGTCAATTTAAAACCGCATTTTTTCCGATAAATCACAATGTTTTAGTTTTTTAATATATCTGTGGTTTATTCTACATGGAATTCTTTAAAATGAAAACAAAAATAAAAATATTGCATCTTCCCTATTCAGCCTGATCACAAAGATATGGTATATAACGCATTCTTATCATGCTCAATTGTTAAATTTGAAAAAAAAATTGTGGTGCTCAAGCTACAGCAGTGGCATAGCGTAGTGCGGGCGGCACTTCTTAGGGGTCGGCAAAATTTTACAATAAATAATAGAAATATTTCAACCATTTAAATAACGGGACGGCAAAACTGTTCTTCACCCTGGGTGGCCGACACCCACGCTACGCCATTGTCCTACAGGGATTGGATATTTATATAGGTGATGGGTTAGCTTGTTGCTTCTAGACAGTGACTCCGGTGCAACTTATTAAAACCTTTGGACCCATTACCCATTTGGGAATATGGTGGAGAATAACAAATATCTTCTGATCTTGTGCTTTAATGAAAAGTCTGGAAACACTGGGCAAACATTGTGAAACATTTGGGCTTAGGATTTTAATGATTCAAAGATAAATCTATGGCTTACTTTTGTAGTAGGTACATACTTTAAACCTGTTACAAATATACCAATTTTACCTGACTGACTATAAAATTAGGCATTTTAAATTATATATCAGTACACTGGTGTCGACTTTGGCATGGTTCTCTAAACTTAAACTTAAATTTAACAGTGTATCCTTGTCATAATTTATATGGAATGAAAAGAAGAGACAGATGTTAAATTTAGATTTCAGTCTAGAGAATCGTGCCCGAATCGTCACCACTAAAAGTAAAAACCAACAGGAAAATGGGGGAAATATATTTTCACTGCCTAATAATGAGATTAGTTCAGGTAGACCTATTGGTAGAACAAAAAGGAAAAAATGTAGATACATTTTACTTCACGATCCACTTCTATAGAACTATACGAAATTATATTTTCTTTTCAGTTCTACTATTTGTAATATTATTTACTAATCTACTTTTTAGTTGTTTGATTCTGCCAGTTCGTAAAGTTCTTCGTAAGAGCTCCTATTAGAATTAGGTGGACAAAAATGATAACTTTAAAGTTTTTATTGTTATCTAAAACTACTTTCTTATTTATTATTTACAAAATATAAATGAAAGAATATTTTTTGGACAACCCTAGTATTACAACTATAATTAATGTAATACAAAATAATCGTCATTATTGACAAAATACGTAAAGTACCTATTATAAATTCTTCTATTGCAAATATTCAATTTTCATTAAAGTATTGTAGTCATATTCACATAAACGATTTATCTATGTATTATCTAACTATAAATTAAGTTATAAAGTTTATTAAATAGCACAACAAAACCATATACCTTAATACTGTACTCAACAAACCAAATCTACTAGTTTTCATGTTTGCAAGGAAACCGCTAAGTTATTGTCTCTGCTAGCGAAGACCTTTGCTTGGTTAAGCTTGCTCGTGCCAACGACCTCTGATTATTGTATCTTTTGGCCATCAATACTTCAAAATTATATCGATTATCTTACCTGAACTCTGGGATCCAATGCTTCCGAACATTCTGCACTGCTATGATTCATTGTTCTATCAATTCAAATACATTTTAGCCTTATCCAACATTCACAGTTAGTTTGTTTAGGTTTTATTTGTTGACTAAAAATAAAAATAACTTGTTTCATTCAACTTCACTGTTTCTTAGTTTTCTCATTTCGCTCGATAGTCGACAACCCTAAAAAATATTTGACAATAGTTTGACAACTTAGTGAGTGTAGTACACACATGGACTTTATAGCAACATTCAATTAAATAAAAATTGGTATCGATGTATCGATATGGTATTGCGGTACCATATCGATACATCGATACCCCATTTGAGATTCAAGGGGAAATTGAATAGCATACGAAAATTATTGAAGTGTCAAATGTCATTAGAGCTCGCTTCGTCTTCTATAGATATAAATAAAATTGGAGTGTCTGTTTGTAATATTGGAAAAACCGCTTTTTACTACATGTATATGTATATATATACGGTACATACACCAAAATTTTTTTTTTTACAATTTTCGTCTGTCTGTCTGTTTGTTCCGGCTAATCTCTGAAATGGCTGGACCGATTTTCACGGAACTTTTATTGGCTGGTAGCTGATTTTAGAAAAATAAAGTGCAATGTCCAAGTACTGTTCAGTACCGCGCGTAGCTCAAGCGCATGCCACCACTGTGCCGTCACGTTGGGCACCTGCCACCACTTCTTCCACCAACAGATCAATATCACAAAGGCTGCCTGTCACGCGGACTCTAATGATATCTCTATAATGTAATTTAAATCTATTTTATTCAAAGATTACAAACTTAACTTTTTTTTATTAAAGAGGGGCGAAGGAATCCAAACATACAGCTATCTCTCGAGTTTTTTTATTAATTAACCCTTTAACCGGCAGCCCTCTTTGTTGTGTAGATATAAGCATCTATAACGCGGTTGCATCCGCGTTACCTGTGTTCCATACAATAAAGACAGTGCTTTACCGACCTTCGCTCGTATCACTTGTCCCTCCGTTCCACATATACATTATTGGCGACGAATCTGAAGTACCCGCGTTTGAAAAAAAAAATGGCGTGCTCGAATTATGGAATTCTAAACAATTTCGACCACAGCGTACAAACTTGGAACACATGGAAGTGTAGGCTTTTGCAGTGGTTCATCGCAAACGACCTTGACACGGTAAAAGACCCGGCGGGAAGTAAAAGACGAGCGATTTTGCTGAGCGCACTCAGCGATGCCACATACAAGCTAGCGTCAGATTTAGCTTTACTAAAGGAGCTACAGGTGATACCATTGGAGGATATTCTGTCACTACTAGACAATCATTTTACGCCACGATCGGCAGGATTTAGTGAACGGCACAAATTTTATTCCGCTACTCAGTTACCAACGGAATCGGCTGCGCAATGGGCAGCTAGGCTACGCGGTCTCACAGCTGCTTGCCGGTTCAGCAACGTGGAAGAGGCTTTACGGGATAAATTCATTATGGGGATGTTACCTGGCATCGAAAAAGAAAAGATGTACATGCAGGAGCTGACCGGTCTAACGTTGTCGAAAGCTGTCGAAATGGTGGATAGCCTGCAAAGTGCGCGGGCAGCGGCGGCAGCCAGTGCAAGCACGCACATTGGGTTGACATCCTCCACTGAAGACCAACTTTTCAAAATTGTTTCAAAAGTGAAGTGTCATGTGTGTGGTTACGCAAACCATAAAGCCACTGAGTGTCGTTTTGCTAATTACGTGTGTAAAAAATGCAATGTGAAAGGTCACTTGCGGAGAATGTGTAAAAACGTAAAATATTTGCGGTCGGTGCAGGTAGATGATGGTGATGGTGATGCTGATGATGGTGAGTTGTTTAATATTCGCTCTTTTCAAGGCGAGCCACTGACAGAAACGGTTCGTATTAACGGAATAAATTTGAAATTCGAAATCGATAGTAGCTCAGCGGTGACGGTTATGTCCGAAAAGATTTTTAAATATTATTTTTGTAACGTTCCATTATTAGACACTAAGAAAAATCTAGTGAGCTATACTGGTGAGGTTTTAGGCTGTGCAGGCTATGCGCAGATGAATGTCGAGTGGCGGGGCCGTTCGGAAAAATTAAATGTGCATGTAGTTCGTGGTGGCGGTCCTCCGTTATTGGGTAGGGATTTTATGGTACAGTTTAATTTAGAGTTGGCTCCAGTTTATCAGTGTAAAACAAACGTTATAGATACTGCACTATTAAAGGCAAAATATCCAAGTGTGTTTTCAGAATCATTAGGAAGGTTTAATAAATATAAAGTTAAGTTGACTTTTAAAGATAACGCAAAGCCTGTTTTCTTTAAACCGCGTCCCATAGCATTTGCACTGAAAGAAAAGGTTGGGAAAGAAATTAGGCGATTAGTCTGTTCTGGGTGTTCTTCGACCTGTCGAGCACTCAGAGTATGCATCACCGATAGTTCCCATTTTAAAGCGAGATGGTTCGGTGCGTATTTGTGCAGATTATTCAGTCACCATAAATAAACAGCTGGTTGTGGAACAATATCCATTACCAACTATAAACGAACTCTTTTCCAAGTTATACGGAGGACAAAAATTCACTAAAATTGATTTATCAATGGCATATAATCAATTTTTACTAGATGATGAGTCACAGAAGCTAACCTGTATCAATACGCACCGTGGTTTGTTCGCGTATACGCGCCTGGCGTTCGGGTTATCGAGCGCACCATCTATTTTCCAACGTGCAATGGACAATTTACTTGCGGGTCTGCTCGACGATGTCCTTCTAACGGGCAGCTGTGACTCTGAGCACCTGGAGCGATTACACCAGGTCTTAAGGCGACTACAGGACGCAGACCTAACGGTGCAACAGTCTAAATGTAGTTATTTTCAAGACGAAATATGCTATTTAGGATATATTATAAACAAAGTCGGGTTAAAAAAATCGCCCGAAAAGGTTAAAGCCATTTTGAAAGCTCCGGCACCTGCAAACGTCAGTCAGTTACAGTCATTTTTGGGTCTTATAAATTACTACAGAAGTTTTGTAGCAGATGCTTCATCGATTTTAAGCCCTTTGTATAATTTATTAAAAAAAGGTGTAAAATGGTGTTGGTCTACTAAAGAAAATGATGTATTTTGCAAAATAAAAAAGCTTTTAGCATCCGAACAAGTGTTAGCTCATTATAATGCTAATGCTAGCCTCATACTAACCGTAGATGCTTCCCCAACAGGTTTAGGCGCTATTTTATCACAAATCGATAGCAATGCGCGTGAAAGACCTATATCGTTCGCGTCGCGCACATTAAGTAACGCAGAAAAAAAATATTCACAAATACAAAAAGAAGCTATAGCGATTATTTTTGGTGTTAGACATTTTCACCAATATCTGTATGGGAGATCGATTCCGTTTACTTTGAGAACCGATCATAGACCGTTGCTATCGATTTTCGGACCTAATCGAGGGATACCCGAAGTAACAGCAAATAGATTACAGAGATACGCATTGTTTTTAAGCGGCTACAATTATATTATTGAATATGTTAAAAGTGCTAATAACAGCGCGGATTATTTGTCTCGTGCGAGCCAGCCGAGCGGCGCCGGCGCCGGCGAGAGGGGCGCGGGGCGGGAGTGCGAGCGTGGCGGGCCCGGGGATGCGCCGCCAGAGCCGATCGACCGCGCGGCCGATGTGTTTTTAGTTGTGGCGGGCGCATTACCTATCACGTTCGAGGAATTGAGGGACGCGACTGATAGCGATAGCACGTTGTGTAATGTTGCACAATATATAAGGAACGGTTGGCCTAAAAAAGTTACCGACGCTAGTCTTAGACCTTATTTTTTTTGTAGGTTGCAATTCTCCATAGAAGGTGGATGTATTATGAGAGGGCACAAGATAGTAATTCCGCAGTCTTTGCAACATCGAGTTTTATCAGAGTTGCATTCATCACACCTGGGAATTGTTAAAACCAAAGCAGAAGCTCGATCGCGCTTCTGGTTTCCAGGTATTGATAACGCATTAGAACATATGATTGCAAATTGCAAAGTCTGTATACAGTTGCGCCCCTCCCCGCCGCGCGCGCCTGTGTGCCACTGGCCGTACCCCCCTAGGCCTTTTCATCGTGTACATTTGGACTTTCTGGGTCCTATTAATGGTCGCATGTATTTAGTTATTATCGATGCGTATACAAAATGGGTTGAAGTGTGTGAAATGAGTTCGACCACTAGTGTAGCAGTGATTGAAAGAATTAGTGAGTACATGTCTAGATACGGATTGCCACATACTTTAGTGGCTGATAATGGAACCTATTTTACCTCGCGAGAATTTTTGAATTTTTGTAAATTAAATGGTATCTCCCATGTGACGTCACCGGCATACCACCCAGCGAGCAACGGACAAGCTGAATCCTATGTAAAAGTCTTAAAAAAGGGTATCCGGTCCAGTCTCATGGAAAGCACCACTATTAAGGAGAGTAGGTTAAAATTATATAAGTACATTTTCGACTACCGGAACTCGGTTCACGGTACGACAGGCGTGTCACCAGCTGAGCTAGTATTCGGACGTAAACTTAGATCGCGACTCGATATTATGAATCCGTTTCCATCTCCGTCGTCTACCTCACTCGCTAAACATGTCGAATCTAAACAGTGTTTACAGGCTAAAGCTAAAACTGGTAATTCTAAAGACTTGTTACCTGGTCGATATATAATGTACAAAAAGTTTAATAATAATAATAAATTTGTTTGGTGCAAAGGTATAATTGTAAAAAGAATTGGTAAAAATGTTTACATCATTAGAGATTGTAAAACATCAATGACTGTCAAAAAGCATTATGATCAAATGATTTATTTACAAAATCATAGTGATAACAATGAGCAACCTGGGGATGATATTTTATGTAACTCAAATGAGCAGACTCAGTCTCAGGCTGCATCACCGACGGTCATTCATGACGCGATCGGTGCCGACGAACTACACCGGGAGGGAGAGGAAGTCGGAGATTCTCAAGTAATAAGACGACACCTGCTCATGATGGCGACCAGTCGGTGCGGGTCTCTCCATCAG